AACCGGAATACTCAGCGTGGATGACCTCAAGACTGAATCCATCGACAGGAAGCTGCGCAAGCACGCATGCAAATGGACCAAAAGAGATTGATCAAAGATCGATTAACAAAGAGTAGAATGGAGCAAGAGGCTGTAGACAGACAGCATAAGAGCCAGCAAGAGGCAATCCAAAGAGCAATTCAGGCGAGGCGGAGGATGCGAGAGGAAGAAGAGAGAGCACTCCAACGGGACTGGGAAGAGCGTAATAGGAGAATATGGGACCAAGTCGACAAGGCGGCGGCTTTGGTAGAAACTCGTCTCGAGGCCGACCGAAAGAAGGCTGAAGCTGAAGCAAGGAGGCTGCAGGAAGAAAAGGAGAGAAAAGAAAAGGCCGAACGCGAACAGAAAGAGAAAATAGAGGCTGAAAGGAGACGAGTTGCGGAGGAAAAGGCGAAAGCAGCGGAAGAGGAGCGCAAACGCAAAGAAGCAGAGGAGCAAGAAAGAGTCAAGGTAGAGGAGAAGCAAAAGCGTGAAAAGGAACAGTTGTCCAAATTCGATGCCGAACGCAAGCGGTCTGGATTGACCACTCCAAAGGAAGATTGGGATGCCGCGATGGCGATCAACCAGGTGCGGAGATTCCAGCCCGATTGATTCTACGCTGACGCTGCTACAGAAAGTTAAACATGGACACCTCAAAAGAATTAAAGAGGATTCGGTGCAGCGTCGTCAATGGTCACCTATCAGACGAGGGATCACCCTGCGCATTGGTCAGCTAACAGACAGTAACGATGAGATAATACGGATAGTGCGCAACTTCCTATCATTAAAGGACTTGTTAACTCACAAATTGTAGTCTACTCAAATATTTGAGACGATAAGAGCCCTAGATCCCAATTCGGATATCTACTGGGCATCCCTATCCGCCCTCGCAAAGGCCATTATCTTGCAAGCGGAGACAGAGGTGACGGCCAAACTGGATACAGCGGGTCCATTAGCGGCAGTTGTAATCAATCTCTTCAATTTACAAGGATTTGAAGAGGTATTATGGGCGAAAATGGTCATCCGAAGTGGTGGATGGCTGATAGGATACTGTGTGACCAAAAAGCAAGGCCAAGATGACAAGGAGTTCCGAAAGCTGGCCGGATATAGGGAAGATGAGAACCAGGTCGAGAGACAGACGCGACTTGGGGGTGTGATCTCGCTATTCTTCGCCATCTGTACCTCACCAAAGGCGACCTCACCGCTACCCACCAACTTTTGGCCAACAAAGATTTGGAGCTTTATTGCCAGGATCATGGCAGATGCAAGGCTTCTTCGACAGTCTATAGCACCCTATGTGAGTGTACACCGTTCAGCAATTTTCCGTTTCTCTCAACTACAACTTTACAGCTCTTACATTCATGCCTTGAGGTTGCGGCAGCAACTGGACTAGCAATGTTTGGCAGGCAGTGGAACAAGTTGCTCATTGCAATGGGGCAAGCTACACATGAGGAAGGACGGGTCGGGGCGTCGGATGATGCTGGCAAGACAGCAAGAGTCAGGCTACAGATCAAAGCCGAAAAGCTCCTTACGGAAGCTTCATCGGCTCCTTTCCGTGCATGAGAGGGGGTCGCGCTTTACCCCTGAGTCACAGGGTCCCCGTAATCTCATCCAGTCGCGTGTATGCCACGCTGCATACCCAGCATTATTCTACTACACAGCATAATCTCAAATAGTGGAACAAGCATACAGCCCCACCCAAACGCCAGGGCCTAGGGAAGGTGGAAAAGCGTCATGTGTATTGCATATTGACGACCTCGTATTGAAATTCAACCAGTTTGTTCACCTTCAACTTTATGGTTGATCCGTTATGAGGGCTTTCTTACCTGTCATACTGTCCCATCCAACTCATTTCGAGCAATAGGGCTGTAGGGTATTCCCTCACGAGTTGAGTGTTATGGAAATATTTAATTAGCTGAATATAGTATAATTCTTTGGAGTCAGTCAAATTGTATAAGGAGTCTTTTACCATAAAGCAACATGGTGAGCCGTCTTATTCTCGATCTCCTGCTCTCTAGCCAACGGCCATAGTACGCCGTTAGTGAAAGGCAGTACCGATTGCTTGCAAGGTCACCGCCCAGGCTGTCACGAAAATTGGCAAAGAAAGGTGCGCCCAATGGTGCAGGGCCACAATTAACTTGGGTTAGTGGCTAAGAAGGTTGAATCGCTTCTCAGGAGGCGTAGAGCCGGGGAAGTTGACAAGGTTCGATCATGCATCCTCAGGGGATTGCCGAGAACACGATTCTATCACCCATTGTTCCCCTTATGCCATTCAATACGATGATATATATGTCGCTTGGGCCCGACAAGTTGACCAGAGGACCTGTGCAGACTCGCCCCTCAACGCCAATACGAGTGTCCCATCCGTACTCACGGATCGGGCTCCTTCCCGTCACTGTATAAAACCTCTGTTCAATCGCGATACAGCAGTTTGCGGCTTGGTCTTGGCCATGTCTCGTAGCCAGGGCTTGCATTTGCTCGACCTCAACGACGATGTACTTTTCGCAATGTCATCGTGTTTTGAAGCTGCAGAGTTACTCAACTGGAGCATGGTGAGTGGCATTTTCCAAAATTCTAGCTGTCCCGAAACCCCCATTGTTTCGCCCTGGCGACTGATAGAAGTGCTTCGCTAGACATGCAAGCGTCTTCACCGCCTCGCAGATTCTCCAAAGTTATGGCTACGATTGGCCCAAGAATTAGAAGAGAGGAACATACCCCTGCCGCTGTACTATGGCGAGACCTACGAGTCATGCTCCCCGGCGACCCTGCGCAAGGCCACCAGTCGGGCATGCCTCCTCAATCGTAATTTGAGCAGTGGTCATCCCAAGTTATACAAGCAGACGATATGGCGGACGATGTTTGCAACTCTTCGGAGGCTTGCCGTCCCCCCAGAGGCAGAAAGTTGCATCAAGATATTTGACGGGAGATGGGTTCTCTTTCGCCGCCCTGACGTTCTCAGCGTCCGCCACGTATACTCCACCAAGTCGAAAGAAGTGTTCGATATTCCCCTCGTTGGGTTCGCTGGATGGCCCATCGAGGTCAGTCAGGTCTCGAAGAAGATTGGCCTCGTTGCCATTCGACATGATGTAAAGGAGTGAGTATAAGGTAACACCTTTATCTCTATGATTTATGCTAATCATTCATTCTTTTAGGGAATGGATGCTGCTGGAGATCACGTTTGGCGAGGACAAATCCACGAAGCCCCGATATCGACATCTGAATGTGGGACACGCCTCGCGCATCTCACTACTCGAAGGTGGACTGGTTATTTCTGTGAGTAGAGGCTCTGAACGTCTGCTTGATGTATACGCCAACAAGGGCGTATTCATTGGCAACAGTGTGCTTGAAAAGGTCGGTCTAAAATTGGCCCATTGTACTTCTGTGCTAATAATATACTTTTCCATGAAGAGGTACACCATACACCATGGATATATCTTCTCTGTATTTAGTGTCTCTGGAGGTCTCATTCAAGCAGCTTCGCGACCAGTCGACAAGGGAAGCGAGCTCACGAATAGACCATGGTCCAAAATCGTCCTCAACCTGGGGAACCAGTTCGCTGGTTATCCACCCGACCAGTTTTTCACGGAGACTTTTATTCGACCGTCAGGCAGAGAACATCAAATCACGATTTGGCATCGAGTCCATACCAAAACAGAAGATGAGGAAGTCCTATATGCCACATTTATCATCAATTTACAGTTCAGTATCGAGGAGGTGGAGGGAAAAGAAACATTTACGTGGGGTGTGTGGACCTTCCGAACCACCTACGCGCCACCAGGGTCTCATTACATTGGCGACCACGGGATGAGTTCCGTGCTCGCTCGATACCAGAGTAAAAGGGCGGCGCTAACAGTATACCCACGCATCATGTTCCCTCTCAATCACTACTCTTCAAAGATCATCAAACGAGGAATCAGTCTTCCCGCACCCGCAGAGACTTGTAGTGGCGAGGATGTGTTTGCGATCAGAATAGCTTGGGATGATGCCCATGGAATTGCAGCATTACTCTTTGAATCTGGTATGCTTTGGATCTTGCATTATGCCTGACAAGTGTCTCTCGGCTTTTCATGTCTGTTCTCATTCTAGGGAATATTGTATATAATTTACACAAGGTTAACCAAGACAACAGCGTGTATAATCTAATTTAACTCTGAACTAAATAAAGAAAAAAACCCATTCTGATGCCACATCGTTTTGGAGTTCCAGAAAAGTGTACAAGAGGCGGCAAGTCTAGATGATCATCTCCTGTCTCCCAAGATCAGCAGCCAGGCATTGGGCATCTCAATGTCACCAATCAAGTCACCGATGGCTTTTGGATCATATTTAAGCCCAATAAACTGCGTTCTACCAAGAAGGTAATCGACGCGGCGAATTCCGCCCGTGTCCTCTTGTTCGCGTGCGATCCTGAGCCTTTCGTTCCGATTGGCATATGCCTGGGTGGACTTCGCTCGCTGACTGGAGCCCATAAGTCTCCACTCGCTGTGCAGGATACGTTCGCGGAGTTGAATGTAGATAGCCTCGTAGACGTCGTTGATGGTAACCACACCTTCTGCCTTTTTGATGGTGATGACCCAAGGCATGTCCTT